CCCCCTACCTGGAAATGCACATCACATATATATATGTGATTTTGCACAGCTCTGTAGCAGTACTTCTACTATAGGGCAGCAGGAAAGTGGTTAATATAGAGAGTGTGTGCTGGAGTGTTCTGGGAATGTAGATAGCACTGTGGTGTCCCCTCATCATACCATGGAACATCTGATTATTCCATTGTAAAACCTAAAGTAACAAATCTGTCATTTATTGTGTGTATGATGACCTCTTCAGATTGTCTTTAGTGAAAATCTCACACACAGCTCTAGTCATTCTATATCTATCTCACTTTTTCTAGAAAAAGGTTCAGTTCCTGTCTGAAAATCTGCAAAACAGTGTTTTTAGGCCAATTTTTTTTTTCTTTAACCAGTTTACAACACCCAGGTGCATTCCACTGATATCAAATAATAATCATTTAGTTATTAAATTAATTTATTATTATACAGGACTTATATAGCGCCCAACAGTTTGATCAGCGCTTTACATTATGGAGGGAGACAGTACAGTAACTATACAGTTCAATACAAGAGGGATTAGAGGGCCCTGCTCCTTGGAGCTTACAATCTAGGAGGGAGGGGATAGTGGTGCAAGAAGTAATTAGCTGTGGGGGATGGAGTGGTAGGAAGAGTAGAGGATTCCAATATTAGCTGGGGTCAGGGTAGGCTTTCCTGAAGAGATGGGTTTTCAGAGTGCGCCTAAAAGTGAGCAGTGTAGGCGATAGCCTGATAGATTGGGGTAGGGAGTTCCAGAGGATGAGTGAAGCCCTTCAGAAATCCTGGAGACAGGCATGGGAGGAGGAGACAAGGGAGCTAGAGAGTAGGAGGTCATGTGAGGAGCGGAGAGTATGGTTTGGGTTATGGGATATGTGCTAATACCTTGTATAAACAAATCTCCTAACCAATATCCATATAAATCATTTGTGATCCTACTATAAATAGGTGTTTATTTCCACATAACCGTGAAACATTAATACATGTGCAAACTTATAGCAACAAAAAATTATATATATTTTATGTCAAAAATTCCTTCAAAACAAAATATAGATAAATTTCAAAAGTCCATTCTGTGATACGTTCTCATTAAGTGCTCCTTCACCAGTGTGCGCTCACCTTGTTTTTTTTGACCAAACCGTTAAGTGAGGTCAAAAACAGCTTGTGTCCCTATAAATGGACTTGTAGGTGATTTTAGGGCTGTATCCATGTCCCAGATGGATGGATGAGTGTAGTGATACCCCTCTCTCCAGCAGGGGGTCTTGATATTATCCAGAGACCTGATTTCCTGGATTTAGGTGGATGGATTTCTCCCTCTCTCCTCCAGGGGGTCTTTCCACTGCTGACTGACACTCCACTGCGCCACATACATGTTGATCACAGCTCTTATTTATAGCAGGATCACCAATGATTTATATGGATATTGGTTAAGAGATCTGTTTATACAGGGTATTAGCACATATATTCATTTATTAACTAAATGATTATTATTTGATATTAGTGGAGCGCGACACAATTTTATAATATTTGATTTTAGCTACACACAAGTATGGGTATGGGCTGCCCACTTCTAGGTTTTAAGCGCCCATGTGCAACCCCCCCCCCCCCCCCCACCAGCCGGCACCAGCTGTGATTGTACAATCACAGCGGGAGCCTGTCAGCAGGTCCAGGCCAATGATTCATGGCTGTGTCCTGCTGATTGGCTGTGTACAATCACAGCCCAGAGCACTGTGTTAGTAAAAACAGAGATCTGTACACAGGAAACGATCTGTAAGTTTCTCAGGGACGAACAACTGAGAGATATAGTAGTAAAAGCAGCACACATTACACATTGTCAGGCACACATTTAACCTCTTATCACCCTACATGTTAATTCCTTCCCATCCAGTGTCATTAGTACAGCAACAGTGTATCATATCAGTGTAATAACGTCACTGGTGATGTTAGTGTCAGATTACCCGCCACACTCCCGCAGCCCCATTATAAGTCGCTGATCACCGCCATTAGTAGTATAAAAAAAAGTTCCAGTGTGTATGTATATATGTATGTTTTATTTTTTATATATATATATATATATGTATGTATGTTTGTAGGTGCTATAACATTCCAAACCAATAAATATGTAACAGAATACATTTTAGGACAAAATTTATAAAGAAATTTTAATTTTTTTTATTGGGTATGTTCTATAACAGAAAGTAAAAAATATTGGGTGTCACGATCGCGGCGTCAGACCCCAGCCCTTCTCACCAAACTCGTGACCGAAGGACTAGCCAATCTGAAACCGCGCTGTCACGTGCGTAACAATGCTGCACACTGCACAACGATTTTCCAGCTAATTGGACCACAATCAATGTATCGGCAGCCTGAGCGATTGTTACTGGGTCAGGTTAATTACACAATTAACCCTTCACACTGCCCCCACTCCTTTTTGTACAGAGAGGAAACTCGGTGATATCAGCAATACTATAATGGTTGAGATAATCGTCTGCATAATACGGTCACCGCAGGCCGATTATGCAGAGGGTTAAACAAACACAGTAGCATTCTCTTTAGAGTTAGGCATTCGTAAATTGCAATAAAGCGCTATAGAAACAGTTCAACGCTTTCAGAAGGAAGGATTTATTACTAAAAGGTCAAACGGGTGCAATAACAATATTTACAGAAAAATGGATTTTAACAAAGGTTATCTGATCGTATTTCCTTGGAATGTTCTTTGAATTCCTGGGAAAGCTTGCCTTATCTTATACGAGGTGTTAAATGGCACAGGTTCCTCAGACAGCCAGGCACCTTGCTCAGAGAGGTGTTTTATAGTTCTGGGCTCCCTGCTGGCTCTAGCCTGCGAGAGACCCACAACCAATTGTCAGTGTGGCTGAACAGAGATGGGGGGGAGAGCATGGAGAACTCTTAACAAAATGGAGGCTGCGTCCTTCACTGTGTGTACGCTGGTTACATTGGGTTTTTTCAAAATTTTTGGTCTTTTTCTCATTCATATTTCAAAAAATAAAAAACCCAGCGGTGATCAAATACCACCAAAAGAAAGCTCAATTTGTGTGAAAAAACCTATATAAATTTCTTTTGGGTACAGCATTGTATGACCGCACAATTACAAGTTAAATTAGCGCGGTGTGGTATAGCAAAAAATGGCCTAGTGATAAAGACTTTTATGGTCATTGCAACACAAATTACAATGAAGTTCTATTAAAAAAAAAAAAAAACTCCATGTATACAGTGGTGTGGAATTTTTTGAAAAAAATACTTGTCCAAGGACTAATGCAGGCCATAGATGGGTCGAAAATTGGCTGATTTTTCGCACTGTTAATGGGTTAACCGTAACCGCTGCAACAATGTATCTATTTGTATCCGAATAAAAGCATCTGTATCCGAAATAGATACAATTTTGAACCGCTATACTTTTTTTTTTTTTTTTTTTTAAACCGTTGATGGTAACGTTGGCCTATTGAACAACCGATTTTTTTGTTTTTTTTTAATTTAAAAAAACGTCCGGTTTTCGACCCATCTATGGCTGCATTAGTCTGAATCCCAATCTAATCTTCAGTGCCTTTAGGAATGTCTGGGGCTTTATGGCGACTTAAACATTTAATTTTGTTAACATTGCGTTGTTTATCTCCTCCTCCCCTCCCTGCCTGTCTCCAGCATCGCACCTGGGGACTAGCAGGGAGGGGGAGAGACCTTGAAGTGTAATGAGCGCCGATTGGGTGCTCCTCAGGAAAGGGGAGTGTCTGGCTTATCTTTTATCCCTTTCACTGGCAAAGCCACAGCAGGACTGAAGGTTGAAAAAAAAACTACCTGCCCAGCGCTCGGAACGATATGTCCCAGGCGTCAGGCGATACAAATTCAACATCCCTGCGCATATGTGAACATGTAACATCCTCAACATACACGCATGTGAACATTACACCCCTGCGTATAAAAGCATAAAAGTAACCCTACCACAACAACAAGCCAAGTCACTTGAAGCTAGATAATATTATTTCAAAATTGCCATTTAAGGCCTTGATAGCTCTTGGAAAGAAACTTTCCTTGAATCGGTTTGTCCTCACCTTTATATTTCTGAACCTCCTGCCACATGGCGGTAGTTCAAAAAGATAATTTCCAGGGTGGGAATAAAAGGAGTAAAATCTTGTATGCGGCCCTACGGAAAAAATCCAGTCCAGTGGGGCCTACACTCAGTACCCCATATTGACGAAGTGAAAACAAAATTTTAGAAATGTCTGTGAATTTATTAAAAATAAAAAAACCGAAATATCACATTGGCATAAGTATTCAGACCCTCTGCAACAACACTTGAAATTTAGCTCCATTGCCTCTGGGGTTTATGGCTGAGTGACTAGATGGAAGCCTCTCGTCAGTGCAAAACACATGAAAGCTCGATGAGAGTCCTTCATGTGGTTTTTTTTTTTTTTTTCTTTAATGTGTTTGGGTTTCAGTTTGTGCTGGTGATTTCTGATCTCCTCTGATACAGAGGTATCTGTACCACCAAAGTGCTTTATGGATGAGATCATTGTAGTTGATTGAGGCCAGGGGTTGTCAGGAGGAAATTGTATCTTACAGCTTTTCTTGTTTCTTCAAAAAAACAAAACAAAAAAAAAACCTCTAAAAGCAAAGATTATTGCAAAAGCAGAATAATTTAAAAGAGTCTGCGAAGATAAGAAAAATGTGTAGGCTATTATTACTGACAACCTTTGGATCGAATGCTAGTTGTCTCTGACTTCAGAATTGACCAAGGATGAGTCAGTCAGTGAGTCATTGGATCATCATAAGAACTGGACAACCAACATTTAAAAAAAAAAAAAACAAATCAGCAATGGCAGCCTCGGTATTTTTCTTACACAAATTTCCTTCAATGCATGCTCTTGTATACTGTTGAAAGATCTATAGAACCTAATAGAGTAATGGTAATGTGTTGACATGCCTTTTGGTGTAAGTGAAAAGTAATTGTGCAAATATGTGACCTTGTTTTCTTTCTTTTTAGCAAATAAACCATGGGGCTGCACTTTGGAAACCTCGCTAAGGTGCGACATATCATCACTTTCAGCTTGTCTCCTTTTGAGCAGAGGGCATTCGCCAATATTTTTTCAAAAGGCATTCCCAATGTTTGGCGGAGGTTCTCGTCAAACATTCTGACAGTAGTGCCACGTAAGTGTCAGACCCAACCCTACAGGATGATATATATGTATGTGTGATAATTGTTCTGCATGAGATCAAAAGGAAAGGGGTAAATAGATGGGGCTGGTTTATTTGATAACTGTGCAGCATCTTCTAATGTAAACAGATTTACTGGGATTTGTGAATGAGGGTATCAGGCTTACTAGACACATTCAAGTGCACCATTCATTAACCATGCAGTTGCATAGCATTCCAGTTTACTTCTATGGAGGAGGAAAAGCATTTAAAGAACAGCAGAATAGGACTATTCAATTTTTCTTTTTTGTTTTTTTAAAGTGCAGTGCAAAGAAGCATTAATATACACACTATATTGCCAAATGTATTGGGCCAGCCCTCCAAATCATTGGATTCAGGTGTATAAAATCAAGCACCTAGGCATGCACACTGCTTCTACAACCATTTGTGAAAGAATGGGTTCTTTCTCATTTAATTCAAATGTAGTACCGTGATAGGATGCCATCTGTGCAATAAGTCCATCCGTGACATTTCCTTGCTACTAAAGATTCCACGGTCAACTGTTAGTGGTATTATAACAAAGTGGAAGCAACTGGGAACAACAGCAACTCAGCCTTGAAATGGTAGGCCACGTATAATGACAGAGCGGGGTCAGCGCATGCTGAAGCGCACAGTGCACAGAAGTCGCCAACTGTCTGCAGAATCAATTACTAAAGACCTCCAAACTTCGTGTGGCCATCAGAGTAGCACAACAACAGGGCGTAGAGAGCTTCATGAAATGGGTTTCCATGGCCGAGCAGCTGCATCCAAGCCTTACATCATCAAGTGCAATGCAAAGCGTCAGATGCCGTGGCGTAAAGCAGGCCGCCACTGGACTCTAGAGCAGTGGAGATGTGTTCTCTGGAGTGATGAATCACGCTTCTCTGTCTGGCAATCCGATGGACGTGTCTGGGTTTGGCGGTTGCCAGGAGAACGGTACTTGCCTGACTGCATTGTGCCAAGTGTAAAGTTTGGTGGAGGGGGGATTATGGTGTGGGGTTGTTTTTCAGGGATTTGGCTTGGCCTCTTAGTTCCAGGGAACTCTTAAGGCGTCAGCATACCAAGACATTTTGGACAATTTCAAGTTCCCAACTTTGTGGGAACAGTTTAGGGATGGCCCCTTCCTGTTCCAACATGACTGCGCACCAGTGCACAAATCAAGGTCCATAAAGACATGGATGAGCGAGTTTGGGGTGAAGGAACCTGACTGATCTGCACAGTTCTGACCTCAACCCGATAGAACACCTTTGGGATGAAGAAAAGTGGAGACTGCGAGCCAGGCCTTCTCCTCCAACATCAGTGCCTGACCTCAGAAATGCGCTTCTGGAAGAATGGTCAAACATTCCCATAGACACACTCCTAAACCTTGTGGACAGCCTTCCCAGAAGAGTTGTAGCTGTTATAGCTGTAAAGGGTGGGCCAACTCAGTATTGAACCCTATGGACTAAGACTGGGATACCATTAAGGTTCATGTGTGTGTAAAGGCAGGAGTCCCAATACTTTTGGCAATGTTGTTTTTTTTTGTGTGTGTGTGTAATCACTCTAATTTTATGTCTTTGGTACAAATTGTCCTTTTAAGACATGTTCACACTACCCCCAGCCAAGCAGCTTCTACAGGGAAGCTGCTTGAAATGGGGGAAGTAACAGACCAGGTGTGCTGCACTCAGAAGAGATGGGGTTCATTCTTTAACCGCTTTCCCACCGCCCTATAGCAGAAATACTACTGCAGGGCTGCGCAAAATCACGTGTGTGTATGTAAGCATGCATGTATGTGTGTGTATATGTATATATGTGTGTGTGTATGTATGTATGTGTATATATATATATATATATATATATATATATATATATATATATATATATATGTATGTGTATGTGTATATATATATAGGGGCGGACTGACAACTCATGGGGCCCCCGGGCAATAGGGGATCATGGGGCCCCTGTGTCCTTGCCCAAACTCAAAAAAAGCCTATGAAAAAGTTACCAGGGGCATCTCATGGGGCCCCCTACTGACCCCAGGCCCTCGGACAATGCCCAAGTTTCCAAATGGGCAGTCCGTGTGTGTGTGTGTGTGTGTGTGTGTGTACACACGTGATTTTGCATTTCCGGGTAAGGGGCGTATGCAAAACCCGTGCGCCTTACCAGCGCCGCCATTGGTGGCCTCATCTATCGATCACAGGGTCCTGGCTGGTGATTCCCCACCAGCACCTGGCGATTGCCGAGTATCACTGATGGGGGAGAGACCTGTATGTAAACAATATAGATCTTTTCCCTGTCAGCTCCTGCACATTGCTTTGTATTGTATTGATTGCCTAGGATGGTAAGCCCTTCCTGCCCAGTGTTATTAGTACAGCGTCAGTGCTTTTTATTAGCACTGATCACTGTATGGATGTCACTGGGGATGTCAGTGACAGTTAGTCAGTTCCCCCCAGTGTCAGAATAAAAAAAAAAAAAATCCAGTATATATACCGCCATTTGTAGATGCTATAACTTTCACGTAAACCAATTAATTTACACATATTGGGATTTTTTTTTTTAAGCAAAAACATGTAGCAGAATACATTTTGGCCTAAATTTAGGACAAAATTAGATTTTTAAATTTTTTTTACTAGACATGGTTAATAGCAAAAAGTAAAAAATGTTGTTTTTTCTCCTCAAAATTGTCGGTATTTTTTGTTCATAGCGCAAAAAATAAAAACCGTAGAGGCCATCAAATACCACCAAAAGAAAGCTCTATTTGTGGGGAAAAAAATGACATAAATTTAATTTGGGTGCAGCGTTGCATGACCGCGCAATTGTCAGTTAAAGTAATGCAGTGCTGTATAGCCTGGTCAGGAAGGGGCGTAAATCCTCTGGAGGGCAAGTGGTTAAACACCACTTACACCAAAGTTACAGTTGTCCATTAATATGTTTCTAAAGCAAAAGCTTTTTGGATGGTCTTGTTTTATTGCCGTCTGGGTCCTTTCTGGAGAGATCAAAGCGGAACTTCACTGCCTCAATCAATATTTAATTATTTATGCTGATTAGCATTGGTAAATAGGAAAGTATGTCATATTTAGTAGGCATGCACTGAAATTTCGGCAGCTGAAAAGTTTCAGTGGAAAATACCCCTATCTGCTCTGCAGCAGCTGGGCATAGAGATCAGTGAAGGAAAGATGGCCTACACTATATGTAAACGGTGTTCAGACCACACGTGAGGATCCGGTGATTGACAGCCGCAAAATCGTGTATATATGCGTGTTTTTGCGCACCCGTGCCGCCCTGTAGCAGTATTTCTGCTATAGGGCTGTCGGGAAGCCGCTAAAGTGTATTTTTTCCCCAACAAATTGCGTTTTGAAAAATATATACATTTTTAAAAACTCCGTTTCGGAGTGCATCCTGAATTTTCAGTTTCGGCACCAGAATTCACATTTCTATGCACCACTAGTATTAAGTAGTTTTAAACTTTTTTTTTTTTCCTGGCCTAGGCAAATTATGTCATACATTCCAGGTGTCTTCAGAAGGGGAGTAGAGGTTTTCCTAGCTAAGCACACCCTCCTGCATGCCTGGGCTAAGGGTGGATGGATTCCCAAAAGTAAATGCTACATGAATCATCGGCCTTTACTTAAGATGGCCGCAGCCAGAAAAGCTATGTGCTGTTTTTCAAAGTAATTTCTAGACAAAATAATACATGCAGACATGGATGGATGGGGAGTTTGCTTTGGATATTAAAAAATGATTCAAACCGCGTTTTTGGTTGTGGTGCTCAGATGCAGTATAGTTCTGCTTTAACCTTCACTGTTGGTTCTGGTTACCATTGCCACCAGAATTGAATGTGAAATTCAAATATTTAAGTAGTCATCAGAACAAAAATCTAGGGGCACTTTTCCAGTGGGGATAAATGAATGAATACAAAGTTTCCTCTGTTTGGCTGAGGTGGAGAGGCAGGCTGATGAAGTCATACTCTCTTATTTGGCCATTCGGAGGCAGGTTTGTATGTTATTCACAGAACAGTGCCGCCCAGACCGACTCTACTTTGTTCTGAATGTGAGATGGGAATTCTCGGTCTTCCCGGCATGTATGCATGCAGATGAAATTACATGCAGTACATACAGTAGAGCTTATAGCCAGTGCAGCACTTCGTGAAGGAAATAGTTTGGTCCAAACAAACTGTTTAAAGTGACCGGAAACCAGGAGGTCAGCTTTAATGTACTCTGCTTTGTATGTACAGATCACAGTATATATTTAACGGACTGAAATTGCTGTAGAGATATGCCACTCCCTTAGATAGAAATCCTGATATGTGCTAACCTGGCTTTCTATTCTCTCTCTTGCTCTCCTTCCTTTTTTTTTTTTTTTAGCCTTTGCTTTGGCGTATATAACTTACAGCTGGGGGACAAAAGAGCATGAGAGACTGAAGAAGAAGGACCCTGCCATGTATGAGAATGACCAGTAAAGACATCTGAACTGGATCAATATCCATCCACAACTCTGTGTCCAATATTTATTGGGATGTTTAATTGTACCTTTAAATACATTAAAGATCTTTCATTGTTTTGCCCTCAAGTTTTACTCCCTTTTTTTTTTTTTCATCATTTATGTGAAATATATTTTTCTACCCACTTTTATAATGACAAAGCATCTGTCTATCTTGACCACCCTGCAGCAAAGCAAGGTATGCATTCATACACATTGCACTGTCCATTGTTGCAGTCTACTCCTGTTTGGTTTTTTTGTTTTTTTTTTATTTTCTGGCTTAGAATGTTGAATGTTTTTTTGATCCTATAGCTCAGTAGCCAGCCATCAGTGCTCAATTATTCGTATCCTAAAGAAGCTGGGAGTGTGCATAACACATGATCCACAGGCAGTGTACACAAAGAAAAAGTTTGTACCAGACGGGGTCTTCACTGTATGGCCCCACCTGGAGCCACGCAGCTTTTTTTTTTTAGAAAATGGACACTGAATGCCACACTCTGAATGATCACTTGAGGGTGACATGAGTATGGCTTTCCAATAGGAATCCATGGAATGGGGCTGTGGT